GGGCTGCTCAGCGTGTTACTCACGATAAGAAGGTCAAGAAGGCCCTCGAGAGTGAACTAACTCATGTACAACATTAACCTCTCTTACGAGGTTGATCCAATGACAAGTCTCGCGTGGCTCTATCAGATAAGGGCGGATCAGGAGAAACACAGGAGAGAGAGGGACGTTATAATGGAGCGTTTGGCTTCTCAGCATCACTCTCAGCAAGATCTGGATGAGCGAAGGGCACAGCACGAGGTGATCCATTCAACTGAGATCTCCATCACTGCAATAGTGCTGTTATCTCAGACAGATAAATCTTCAAGAAACGCCGAGAGGATAGCGACGTTGGAATCTTTGTTACGCAAGTCGCTATCGTACTCTTACGTAGCTGTCAAGTTGCACTCGCTGTCACCAACACCAGCGACCGCTGGATGGGGCCTCGAGATGTTCTACGCTCAGCTGATCACTCCCGATTCCCCCGGAAGTGTAGACTCAAAGGTCGGGCGACCAAGAGATGTGTACGATCATCAAAAGCGATTTCAGGGAGCTGAACGAGGCGACTGGAAAGGCCGAGTGTTGTTCCTGTCTTATACCGAGGGAATGACTCTCACAGTGGATGTGAGTTCTCAACCACCAGCCGGCCTTAACAGGGCGAGCCATGTCGTCAAGAGGAGCTCGGGAGGACGGAGTTCATCCGAGTGACAAACTCTCAAAAGAGAAAACCCACACAAGGCGTTGATGACGATGAAATGATGGTGAGCCTCCTACCCCAGCAACTAAACGATAATCAGACACTGTTCGTAATCTCTGAAGGACACCTACCCGTTGCGGAAGTCAGCCAGCAAGCCATCAACCATCTATACGGACCCATTGTATATGGGTATATAATATACCGTATATTCGTCTAGGAGTTTACTGCTGCGTGGCTGGAGGTAAAGTACAGTAGATCCGGGCTGAGCTAGGCAGCGAGCGGAAGAACAGTGCTGGTGTAACGTCATCCGCCAGGCGGATTCCGCCTCCAACACTGCTAGAAGCCGCGTCTCCGAGGATTCCCTCGCCACAGAGTCAAGTGGCATTCAGCCTCGTGCAGAGAATGTAAGTGTCGAGCTATGCTGTGTTCGACTGACGAGTCTTTTGATCGTTACCGTTGCTGTACTCTCGCTTATCATCTTGCTAGGCGGAGCGAGCCACACGATTTCGCTGATCCCGATAAGACCAGTGCAGCGTGATGACAGTGTTGCATTGTCTCAAGTTAACATAGTGTTGCGTGTGATTCGGGAGAAAATGTGTGTTGTCGAGGCCAGTGATGGGAGTCCGTTCTGGAAAACATGCTAGCTGTGCGATCGTTCCATTTGGTCGGCATGTAATGCACGCATGCACAGCGTCGAGTTAGACAGGAAAAGATCCGGAGGATCGTAATAATAGTTGACGATGCTTGACATGATTCAATCTGTCTATGTCCTTTTTCCCATCAATTTGGTGGGAAACTAGAGAACCTCGATCCTATGCTCTATGGATCGCGCTTGATGTAGTTATGCAACATCATCTCTGATACACATGATCAAGTCAATTTTCCTGGCTAGTCTCCGTCTGCTGTGTTGAATCGTCGATTATCGTCGTCATTCTTTGCAGTGCTTTCAATGTGTTGTTTCTACCTCCGGTACATCGTTTTAGCCTTGCGAGTGTCGCAAGGTGTATCCCTTTCATTGTTCCCCCCACCAGTAGACCAACTATGCGTACTATCAAACTTGGACTCGATAAATCAGGGGTGTGTCAGAGATGAAAGCATATTGTCAAACTCGTACCTGACATTTCCCATTTGTGTCGAACATGAATACGTATTGTTATTTTCGGATGTGGCACTGACATAGTTGCCTGCATATCTTTCGAACTTGCATGGGGAAAGGTGTAGTACCTGTCCATCGTTATACTGTATGAAAAATCTCGCGTGAATTCCACTCGTCGATTTTTCGTCACTCAGTGAATGCGTGCGGATCTCATGTGCACGTATGCAGATGATTCACGGACCTATGATAGGCCACCTATCTATTAACTTAATAGTATTAAGAGCTTTGTACTGAGAACTACATGCAAAGCTCAGCTCACCGTCACTGCAATCATTCTCTACAGTGCTATTATGTAGGGGAAGCGTGACTCGCGATCCTCTTGATCCATACCTCATCTCAGTTCACGATAAATGTTATATCGGCGCAAATTGTGCGCCATGGAATTCTTTGTTGTTTCTAGGGCCGATGCTCCACGGACAATAGTAAAGCGTTCTCGAACTTGAGTGGAACCTCATCAACGCTTCCCGAGGTTAAAAGACAACTAGCAACGAATCCACGACCTAGTTCAACAAGGAGGAGGGGTCGTTGCCCTCAGACTGACAATAATGTGAGCACGCGCGTGCGTTAATCTCTTTCAGTCAGCGTGAGAAAAAATGAACAAGAATTCGGTCGTTCTATCCGTGATATCATTTCGGGTCAAGTGAACTGAATTATGCGCTACTGGTTCTTAGCGCTGTAGTGTAGGACCCGACCCATACTAGGAGCGGCTATGTGTCGACTCCCCACTCCAAGGGCTTCTCTGAGGGTCTTGTGTTCTTCACGCGCGCAATATCGGGACGCCGGTCGTGACACGTGCACGATCAGCCCCGTTCATTGCATCCTTTCCCATGAGGCATTATTTTCGTTACGGGTTATGACCC